TGTTCTTGACCGATTTTACATCATCATCACATATAATAAACTTTAACCCAGAAGACGATGTTACTCTTGAGACCGTGACGTAAAGTTGTCCATGAGTGAAAACCGGACGATGTAAGAAAACACTAACCCTCTCCAAAATTGTATGTGACTCTTATTAATTAATGGTTATCTCATAACTAAGGGTCAAGGGGAATTGCCTACGCTGAAATGTGAACATCAATTTTAATCTAGGTCAAATGGAGTCAAACTAATCTTGAGAATAAGCAACTTTTGTCCGGTATTAGTTCGAGGCGTCATCCAAGGCCTGAAAATATGAGTTTCAAATTTAGTGATGATGAGTCAAGTGCCATTACACAATCCAAAGGAATGATCGATATTCCTCATCAGCATCACAGGTACACCCACTTTTAGTTTCAGCTTATGATTGTTCACAATTCATGTAGTTGGGAAAAATTCTTTTGATTGAATTGAAGGAAATGTATATATAATCCATATAATCACGGACTTGCGTAATTGTACTCATGAATGAAGAAGGGTAAAAATTTGTCAATTTCTTTTGGGGTCTTAGACTCTCAGCTTCCAACTCTTTCAAAGTTAACTTAGAAACACACATTTGCTCATCTTGCTGAACATTGTCTTTATCAAATACCTCAATGATTTCCAAAGAAGAATATACTGATATACTGATATAAAAGAGTAAAATATACTGATATAAAACTGAAATGGGAAATTCCATAATATAACACCTAACAGATGCATAGCTTGGATCCATTTTAAGTTGATTATACATATTGATGAAGATGCCTACTGCCACAAAATGAAAAAGGGGAGGTGAAGGGGCTCTGGTGCAGTATAGAAATGAGAAAGAATTATTTTACCCACATTATTTTGATTTCCAGAAATTGATCTTAGTTTCAAGCAGGATAATGACCAAAAGCACCGTTAGCTCTGAAAAAGGAAAGTCACCACAGTTAGTCTTTAAACGATTGTTCAAAACCAAGCTGATCTAGATCATTAACCCCATGACAAAAGGACAATCAGAAATTTTGATTTAAACAAACTTAATGTTTAAATATGTTAGGAAAACCATATGTTTCTTACTACGGAGTTTATAAAGCTTAAAACAACATAATTTCAGCTTAAAAAGATTGTTAATTAAAAACCAAGCAAGGATCATTACAAACCCTGTGACAAAGAGCAGAAACCTAAACATAGGTTTAAGTAGTGAAAACTGCACTTTTCAATACTTACGTAGTATAATCTTAGTGTTTCCAAATCATAGCCCAAAAAGAAAGAAAAGATTGCATTTTTACATGAGAATCACATGTTGGAGTAATACATGTTCATTATTATGCTTTTAGGTGTGTGAATGAATTTGGATGATAAAGATACTGATTTTGAACTGAAATAAACTGTACAAATACGTAGTTTTACTCCTTGAACTAAACTGAAATGAATTTTAGAAACCAATCAAAGATGAAAGTGAAATATCAGAAAAGAAGAACTTATTGAAACATTCCTGCAGCATAATCTATGTCTTTCTACCATGTAATTGCATATATCGAATTAAACTCATTACAATTCAGAATCATGATATAGTACTCTAAATATTGGACAACATACACATATGTAGTTTACTAATGTATTTTGAAGATTGTAAAAAAAACGATGAAAGTCATGCTTGAAAAAAATCAACAAAACACTGGGTCTGCAAATTTACATGTGACAAACAGACTTGTAAACTTACCGGGCTCATTTGAATCCCTTTCTCCTTCGATTCATGGTGTTGGAGGATTTCCAGAGCTCAATCCGAAATGAAGAGGAGATTTTTCCACTTCAAGAAAAAGAAAGAGATGGCAAACAGAGGATGAGGCAGTTACCGCCACATGCTTTTATTAGGGCATCACCATTGCTTTATGTATAACCACAATTCTTCTTTTACAGTCACAAAGCCTAAGTGTTTGCGTTTGTGGATGTTAGGGCCACTTCATTAATCGATTTGTTTCAGTGAGGGGGAGAGAGGTGAGAACCTGGGGAGCATTTTGGTTTGTGTGAGGGAAGAGAGGTGATAAGCTGAGGGATTTTCTGGTCAGAAAGAGAAGCTGGGGAGCGAAGGCCTTCGACACTGCACGCCGATTCTTCTGCAATTCCGGCATGTACGGCTGATTCATTGTTTGGAGAGAGAGATGAAGGCCCTCCACAATGAACCAAGAGAGATATTGAAGTCGGCTATGAGATTACGGCTGATGGATTAGGTTGGGGAGAGATGAAGTCGAATCGGAGATGAAGGCTTATCGATGAGATTAAGGCTGATTGAAGTGGCCATGAGACTACCTGGGAGAGAGATGAAGGCTGCTCGATTTGGCAGGGACTCCTGGGAGAGAGATGAAGGCATTCATCTTACTGAAATGATAATCGAGTGACATTAGGCGGAAATGAAATAACCTCAGCCATAGATTGAAATCATATTGGGCGGATGAGATGGCTTGGACGTTGAGCGGGAAAATGAGGTATTCTGAAGTATTGCAATTATGTAGAGTGATTCACCTATATTTACTAGGGCTGGATTCGGTTGAGTTCCCGAACCGATTTGGGTATATTCCAAACCGAACCGATTTTTCAGTTTCTTAAATTATATAAACCGAACCCAAACCAAAGTTTGATCGGTTCCCAAACTTTCGGAAACCCGAATTTCGGGTTCGGTTTTTCGGTTTGTTGTGTAAAAACCGAACTAACTCTTACATAAACATAGATTAACTAAATATTTGTTTATAGAGTAGCTAATAATCGGCCTCAAGGCATTGCTAGCAACCTATTTCACCATTGATACCATGGGGCAGTTATATATGAAGATGTGAGGTGCAAATTCTTCATTCCATCCGGTGTGGGACTAAATGAATGCTGAAGGAAAAACAAAGAAAAAGAGTTTGAATGGAGGTAAAACTAAAATACTAGGGAGAATCCGTCTCTTGAGCGGATCGAACTCGGGTGGACAAGATGGAGCGCGCATGTTCCACCAATCAGCTACATCTGAATTTTGTGTTATTCAGACGCCACGTTGTATAAGTACATTAAAGTGATACCCAAAAAAATAATTAAATAACTATTATTTAATAAAGAAAAATCGGTTCGGTTTGAACTGATTTTCAATCTCAGTGAACCGGTACCGAACCGATTTATATTCGGGTCCCAGCTTTCGGGTCCCATTCAAGTCGGTTCAGTTTCGGGTCGGTTTTTTTATCGCTCGGTGCGGTTTTTTTCGGTTCGGTTTTCGATTTTTCGGTTTAAAATGCCAGCTCTAATATTTACCCTAACATTAGTGAGTGTGATGAGTCTATTAAAATTGATTAAATTACGAGCGAAATACTTGAATTGATTGATTATGCAAGTTATGAAAACAATCATGTTTAACAAATTCAATCAGAAAATAACTCCAACCTTATTTACTTTTATTATTATACAATTCAACAGTGAGATATGGAGTGCAAGTTTGGTGGAGGTAGAACTAGTAGCAACAGTGGGATTACTCTTGATGGTAAGGAAATACCAGTGTGTGATATGTTTCATTATTTGGGCTCCATAATTCAGAAGGATGGTGAATTAGATGGAGATGTATCCCATAGAATCAGAGCTGGGTGGATGGAATGGAAGAGTGCATCAGGATTTCTTTGTGATCGAGGTATGCCGACTAGACTGAAAGGTAAATTTTATCGAACAGCAATTAGGCCTGCATTAATGTATGGCGTAGAGTGTTGGACGGTGAAACAATGTCACATTCAAAAGATGAGTGTGGCAGAGATGCGTATGTTGCCTTGGATGTGTGGACATACCAGAAAAGATCACTTGAGGAATGAGGTAATCAGGCAAAAGGTGAGAGTAACACCTATAGAAGATAAGATGCAGGAGTCTCGTTTGCGGAGGTTTGGGCATGTGCGTCGAAGACCGAGTGATGCACTTGTTAGACGACTTGAGGGGTGGGGAGAAGAGACAGAGAGGAGAGGGAGGGGAAGACCTAAACAGACTTGGGTTAGAGGAATCAGAACTGCTATGCGTCTTCGTGGGTTGGATGAGAGCATGACTTTGGAGAGGGCAAAGTGGAGGGCGCACATTCGTGTGGACAGTTGATTTTTTATTTCTTTTTTTCTTTTTCTTTTACTCTCTTGTTTTCTTTTCTTTTCTTTTAGAGTTTTTTACCTAAATATTACCAATATTATTTGGAGTTGCAAAAAACTAACCAATGATAAAGAACACGTTCTGAATAATGGGAGTAAGGTAGGCCATGAAGTCATATTTTTGTTAGTGGGGTTCAAAGTTGTTAAATTTATGTAATTTTTTCTTTCTTTTATTGCTTATCTTCTTTGTCTTTTTATGTTCTTATGTTATTTTTATGTTCTCCCTTTTTTATGTTCTTTTATCTTTCTTATATTCTTATATTTATCTATCTTTATAATATTCGTTTTATCCTTTTATTTCCTCTTGTTTGTCTTCTCTTTATGGCTTCGATATCATGGATCGATTCATGTTAGCCGACCCCAAAACCTTTTGGGATTAAGGCTTGGATGTTGTTGTTGTTGAACAATTCAACAGTGAAATAAAAAGTTACAAAACTAATATACTGTGGTTGATAATGTTGATGTCCAAAAAACAGAGGCTAGGCTTCCCAATAGACTCATTATACATTTATACTTACGCTCACATTATGCAAACGGTATTGTTAGTTTGGGACTTTGGGCGCTTCTTTCCTTTATACAAGTACATTAAGATTCCTTGGTCAGCCATACGTTTGATGTAACTCGAGGTTAAAAGCTATTAATAAGGAGAATTGCCTAATTAATAGTTCTCATAAAATGTTGTCCTAAATTTAAGGCAACATTCTGCAATGTTAGGCAATCCAATCTAAACTAAATAGAACTGGTTCGTCATGATTGAAGATCGATCTGATTTCCAATCAAATGTTCCCAGAATTCATGTTGCAATCACACAAGTCCTTCCAGGTCATAAAAGAATTAAAAATACTAATGCTTTTCATATACAAGTTTTTCATACTATTTGTAATATTTCAAGTATATAATCCAGCTTAATCAAAGTTACATTTTTTTACTCCAGGGGGGGAGTCTGGGCTGGGGGCTGGGGTAATCTAGGCTGAAACTCGGTCCATTGAGTTTCGAACCCGAGACCTCCCGTAAGGGAGAGTGAGTCGGCGACCAGTTGGGCTGGACCGCTTTAATTACAGTTGAAATTTATTTTCAAGTTGATGGATCCTTGATTTCAGAGAGGCGCAGTATAAAACTCAAATCCTAATCAATGTCTGCAAAAGTGAGGAGGTCAGGCCATGTAACGCATTGCACATTTTATTCATTTTTCAGGATCCAGTTACCAACAAGATGACCGGCAATAAAGTATTTCTTATTATTATCATCATAACTATTAGTCTAATTGCCTTAGTTGGTTCTTAGAACCGAGATCATAAGCTAGGTTCATCTCAGTTTAGAAGCTGCATCCTTATCCAAGAACCAGGTCAACTCATCCTCGGCAGAAACCTCAGTGCAAGGTGGGGGTACCCCATCAGGGGACACCCCATCACCCAAAGCAATATTCACCATGTAAGCCAACTCACCACCGGTAATCACCATTGCGTTCTCAGAAGCGGAGTTGATCACCGGGAATGTGAAGGTGATCCTTGGGGGTGGCGGTTTCGGTGAGTCCGTGATGAAAGTTACCCAACGTTCCTTCTCATGACGCTGAGGATGATTTGGGAATAGAGACGCCACATGTCCGTCTGGGCCCATGCCTAGCAGCATTAGATCAAATTGAGGAAATCCGGTGGGAGAGACAGGCAAAACTTTAGACTCCACAAGCTGCCTGAGGCGAGTTTCATAATCATCTGCAGCTCCTTCAGGTGATTTCTTGTCATTTATTGCGAATATGTTTTTCGAGGGAATTGGAACCTGTAAACAAAACACAAGCAATGTACTAAGATCACAACACTTTCTAAAATGTTCTAAAATGTGTTAATGGTAGCTAAAAGTTGAATCTTTGTTAAGTAAATCTGATACAATAGTTTAGTACTCCCTTTTTTTTTCCCTTTTTTTTATTCCGGGGGTTTGGGGGAGGGGGTCAACTCACTCCGTTTCGAACACGAGACCTCCCGTTCGAACACGAGACCTCCCGTAAGGGGGAGTGAGTCAGGGACAAACTGGGATGGATTGCTTCCTCAATTAAAAATAATAGTTTAATACTCCCTAACTCATATTTTAAGGGTGTGAATATACTTCAACAGTTTCACAACATACGTATTTTACCTTGCTCCAACACTTTCTGAATTTCAAGTAGACCTAAATTCGATTCAGTTCAAATTTCAAAATGAAGCCTATTACTGTAGTGAAGCAAACCTTGGAAAGAAAACCATTGAAGGCAAGAAGATAATTGCTGTCAGGGTGATCTAGAGGAACCACCCTCTCATCAACCCAAAAGATCAACCATTTGGACCAATTCACTGATTCCTTGTATGGATCATCCACCAGTTTCCTATTCAATCAACAATCATCTTCATCCCTAAAGGCTCGAACCAGCAAATGAGAAAAAAGTACATTAAAATCCGATGAAAAATTACCTCATAGTGTCGATGAGACTGCCACCGGAGAGGACAACAGTGAAAGAGTTTTTCTGCCGGATAAACTTCTCCGACAAGTCGGCGGTGTATTTTGCAAGAGCCACCGCCACGTCATCCTCCGATTCGAACTTCAAGACCGTCTTTTTAGCTTCTCTTGTAGCCATCGGAGCAAAGGAGATGTGAACGCTCTCAAAAAAGTAGTGGCGAGCAACATCAAACGGATAGAAGATTTATGGACCACAGACGCCGACCAGGGGTATGGTCAGCGGCAGGCGAAGTGGACTGTAACAACTTACCGCCGTACTGGTATGGGACCAAGCCGGCTTATGGTTAGAATAGGGATGGGCGTACGGGTGTAAAGCCAATTTTGTCTGTAAAATGGAAACTAATAATCTAACCTTTTAGCGATTTTCTTATAATAGTCTTACCTTTTCGTTATTCAAGAATAATCCAACATTTGCACCTCATCTTCATTCTCTGGTCCCTGATCGATTATTGAGTTGCTATTCCAAGTTATTTTCTTATCTTTGCAAAATATTATCGTTGTAAAAGGTGAGATTTGTGGTATAATGATTTGCAAAGATATTAAAATAACTTGGAATAGGAGGTCATCAACCGATCAAGGACCAGTGAATGAAGATGAGGTGCAAATGTTGGATTTTTCATGAATAACGAAAAGGTGGGACTATTGTAAGAAGACCGCTAAAAGGTTGAATTATTAGTTTCCATTTTCCCAATTTTGTTCGAGTTTGATAATGTTTCTTTTAAATTGAATTGAACTAAATAAACTAAATCGAACCTCAATTGAACCAAATAAATTCAATAAAACCTTCATTTATTATTAAAGAACTATGAATCCAAACTGAATCTAACAAAACTAAACCGAATCGGAAAATATCATGGTTTTGTTTGGTACTAATTCACCCAACCCGTTCCAAATCAAACCGAATTGAAAACCAATATGCCCACCCGTAAATAGAATAAGGGGCGATCTTTAAAATTGTCATAATTATTATTAGCCCATGTGATTATGAAAAAAATTCGTAAATATTACTCTTTTAATTGTACTGGACAAAAATATTATTTAGTAACTAGTCTGTATTAGTGATCATAATTGTGTTCAAAATTTACGGCGCAGTAACTAAAAGTAACTAAATGTAAATTATCATGATATAAACTTTGAACACAATTATTGTCACTAATACTTACTAAGTCACTTTTTTGTCTATGACTTTTTTATTTGTAATACTTATGCAAAAACTTCTGAGATTATATCATAATTATTAATGCAATTTTGCATTTTCGAAATCAGTTATTTACTCCTGAGTTTGGATCACTCTAATTCTTTGCTACCTCACGTTAATATAACTCTCAAAGTCAATCAACATTGTCAATTAAATTAATTTCTAAAGTAAAACGCAAATTATTATCATCATTATATGTCATTGGTGTAGATCATTATTTTTCTACTTAGCTACTCCATTGTGGAATAAATATTATTGAGAGTAGTTAATTGAAAATACTCATGAGTAAGATATAAAATATCATGAATTTTAATATTTTTATTTTAAAAATTAAACATCACTTAATCTGATAAAACTAATAAACTTTTTGTTGTAAAACAACTTTTGTGAAGAAAAATCATCACAAATTAGTAACAGAGTAAATACAATTTAAATAAATCCAAATATATGTTATTTTAGGTCTTAGATCAATTGATAAATTTCAGTTATTCATGTTCTATATCAACACATTCTATCTTTTAGGTCTTTTATTGATACTAGACATATCTTTTTGGTCATGGAATGCTAATTTTTTTTCTTGGATTTTTTTTTTTTGCTACACACGGAAGAAATGTCATTAAGATTAATTCAATTAGTTGAATTACAAATAAGACATTCAAATAGATGTATTTTTGAATTAGATGAAGTAGTGCCTTGAATTCTGATAATGCATTTTTGAACAATTTTATATGATGTATCCCACAAATATTACTCGTGAGTCTTCCCCTTAACTACTTTCATTAATAGTTATTCCACGATCAAATAGTTATGTAGAAAATAGCGATCAACAACAATGAGTTATAATTATGATAATAAATTGTGTTATACTTTAAAAATTAATTTAATAGACAATTCTCATTAAATATAAGAGTTATATTAAATTTAATTTAATAAATATTAACATGAGGAGGCATACGGTGAGATAATCAAAAGTCAAAAGGTAGCTAATTGATTTTTAAAAATACAAAGTTACATTAATAACTATGACATAATCTCAGGGGCGAATAATAATTGTCAAATGTTTAAGAATAAGCCGTTACCGTATGAAAATTTAATACACCAAAAACTCTCATATATAATTTAATTAATTCACCCCACTAGTTCATGTAATTTAAAAATACATCAAATTAAACCACATGTGGTATAATTATTCAAACGCAAAACCTTATTCAAGAACAAAATTTATAAATTTGAAAGTACATGTATTAATAATAAGATTGAATATGCAAGTGACTTTGTCAAGATTTCTAAATTATAAAAAAAATCTTTTTATTAAATCATAAAGGGTTAATACGTTGAATTTATATTTCATGAGACAGTTTGGTTCATTAGTTCCCCACTATTGTTTATATTTACTGTTTACATGTGAAACATTAATTAGGCTCTCTTTCTTTATAAATGTTTAGTTTCTATAAATCATAAATGTGAAAAATCTCAATAATATTACTCATAGAAAAGTGGTGGGACATAAAAATTGACTAAGTTACTATGATGAATTCAACACAAGTATAATCACTAATAGTTATTGTTGTGGATCCGTTTCTGTCTTGCCGGATTCGGCTCAGGTATGCCGGAGGTCGGTTTCCGGCGGTCTCTTTGTGCACACTAAGGCTAAGGGAGCAACAACCTTTTCTACCTTCCAACACTACTCTTACTCAGCTTCACAGAGAGCTGGTTTCTCTTTTTCTCACCACACCCTCAAAGGTCTAAAAGTTGATAGATTTATACAGCACACTAAAGAAGAGGAAGAAGGTGCTGCGGCCTTTCAAAAACAATTGCACATGCTAGGAAGTCAACATCGAACAGAGGAGTTTGGCTTATTAGCTAGAGGAGTATGGGTTGACATGGGTTGGCAGATATGCAGGGACACTCAATCACACACATCACATTATTTGCTCAAATAATGAATCTGGACAGATTCAAATCAGAAGAAATAACCCAAGCCTGGTAACTGGAGTAAGAGTAGTGGGTTGCTGAATAGGTTGTTAACTATTATTAATATACAAAGGTTATTTGGGCCAATAATATATTAACAATCTCCACCTTTGGCCCAAGGTAGTGCACTGAGACAATTCACGGAACCACGGACTCATCATCGCCGAATTATTACAAGCATTATCGCAAAGATTATACAAGTAATATAAGAGAATACCCCATGAATTCTCGGATCACAAAGGGACAACACACTAAGCTTGCCGAGTCCATAATGGACTTTACTCTACCATAACGGTCATCGAGTTCGAAGGGACACCAACACCAAACTATTAACAAACACTAGTTAAGTTAATAGTAAACCGATGCAACACAGAAAAAATTCATCCAAAATCAAAATTTAAAATCTTTTGACACGAAACAAATTTTTCAACAGGTAAACATTTAGTACCCATGTCAGCAGGATTAAATTCTGAAGGAATTTTCTCTAATTTTATAATTCCCTTTTCAACAATATCTCGAATATAATGAAATCTAACATCAATATGCTTAGTCCTATCATGGAAAACAGGATTTTTACACAATTGAATAGCAGATTGACTGTCAGAAAATATAACCACATTTTTGTCAAGAAAATTAATTTCATGCAAAAGACCTCTAATTTAAGCCAAATAGCTTCTTTGAAAGCTTCTGTGGCAGCAACATACTCAGACTCGGTAGTAGATATAGCAACAATAGGTTGAAGTTGAGATTTCCAACTCACACAAGAACCACACAGAGTAAACACATAAGAAGTTGTAGACTTTCTATTATCTCTATCATTAGCATAATTGGAATCAACATAACCAATTAATTTAACACCTTCAGAGCACTTAGAAAAAGTCAAACCAACATCCACAGAATATTTCAAATACCTTAAAAGCCATTTCAAGGCATTCCAATGAGGCATTTCAGGATGAGACATGTATCTACTCAAACAACTAACCGCATATGCAATGTCGGGCCTAGTACTAACCATGAGATACATGACAAATCCTATAGCATTCGAATAAGACACATTTTTCATTTCATTCATTTCAGTTTCAGTCTTGGGAGACTGATCCTTACTTAACACAAAATGAGAGGCTAGAGGCACATTCACAGATTTAGCACCGGACATAGAAAATTTACTCAAAACCTTATCAATGTATGAACTTTGATTCAACACTAGAGTAGATTTCTTTCTATCCCTGATAATCCTTATGCCTAAAATTTTCCTAGCATCGCCTAAGTCTTTCATGTCAAAGTTTTCACAAAGAGATTTTTGGACATGCTCAATAGACTTCAAACAAGGACTAACAATTAACATGTCATCCACATAGAGTAATAAAAATATAGGCAAAGAGTCAATATTTTTATAATACATACAATGATCAGCGGATCAGAGCTCTTAGAAAATTTTAAAGATTGCATGCACTTGTCAAATTTAATATTCCATTGCCTAGGTGATTGTTTTAAACCATACAAAGCTTTTTTCAACAAACACACATGTTCAGGCAATTTAGGGTCAACAAAACCCTCAGGTTGGTGCATATAAATATTCTTATCAAGATCACCATGCAAAAAAGTAGTAGTTACATCCATCTGTTTTAATTCCCAATTAAAATGAGCAACTAAAGAAAGTATAATTCTAATGGTGGTGAACTTGACAACAGGAGCAAAAATTTCAGCATAATCAATTCCCTCCTTTTGAGTAAATCCCTTAGCTACTAATCTAGCTTTAAACCTCACATTTTCAGATTCTTGCTTCACCTCTTAAATAGCCCCTTACAATCCACTAAGGAACAACTAGCGGGTCTAGGAACAAGTTTCCAAGTTTGGTTAATTTTAAGGGATTCCATTTTACTATTCATAGCACTGATCCATTCTTTGGAATATTTTGACTTTAAAGCCTCTTTGAAAGTCTTAGGTTCATTGCATTCAAGGGATTCAAATATGTTAAAAGCAAACTCAGATATATCACAATTAATCAAATTGCAATCCCTATATCTTTCTGGTTTCCTAATAACCCTTCTATCTCTATCCCTAGCAAGTTGATAGTCATGCAAATCATCATTTTCAGA